TTTCTTTCTTTCTTCCTTTCTTTCTTTCTTCCTTCCTTTCTTTCTTTCTTTCTTTCTTTCTTTTTCTTTCTTTCTTTCTTTCTTTCTTTCTTTCTTTCTTTCTTTCTTTCTTTCTTTCTTTCTTTCTTTCTTTCTTTCTTTCTTTCTTTTTCTTTCTTTCTTTAGATATTTTAGGGTCATCATAGGCACAATTCTAAAGATGATAGAATAAGATTCCTGTTCCTTGTTTATTCAACCAAACATGAATCTAGGTACTGCTGGGAAAAGATTTTGTTGATGTAGTTAAAGTCCCAATTCAGTTCACCTTAAAATATAGAGATTATCTGTGTGGGCCTGACCCAATCAGGTGGATACCTTTATTTTTGTATTATTATTATTATTATTATTAATTTTATTTTTTTTTAGAGAGAGAGAGCACGCATGTGTGGGTGCAGTGTGCAGAAGGGCAGAGGGCGAGGGAGAGAGAGAATCCTAAGCAGGCTCCACGCCCAGCATGGAGCCAGATGGAAGTGGGGCTTGATCCCTGAGATCATGACCTGAGTGAAATCAAGAGGTGGTTGCTTAACCAACTGAGCCACCCAGGTGCCCCAAGTGGATACCTTTGAAAGCAGAGGCTTCCCAGCTGGTAGCAGAAGAGAAAGTCAAAGACATTCAAAGGAGCAAAAGGACGTGACACACTGCTGCTTGCTTGAAGAAGAAAAAAGACCCATGAGGAGAAATGCAGGCAGCCTCTAGGAGGAGGAAGCTGCCCCAGCGGACAAGGGATGAAAATGGAGACATCACAACTACACCTTACGGAAGTAGACTGAGGCAATGAGGAGAATAAGCATTAAAGCAGATTCTACCCCAGAGCCTCCAGATAAGAGCCTAGCCCAGCTGACACAGGACTTCAGTCTTGCCAGACCTTAAGCAAGCAATCCAGCTGAACCTACCTGGACCTCTGACCTACAGAAATCATGTGGTTATTTGCTGTCCCAAACCAGAAATGTAATGGAAATTTCTAAGTAGCTAAATTATGGATTACATGGAGGGAAGGCATTGTTACCTGCAACAGCAGCATTCCAGGTATTTATTTAGAAAGCACTCTTCCTCAAGAGCTAGGGTATGTGAGGAGAACACAACACTTTCCACTTCTCTAGTCGAAGGCAGCTTATTGAATTCATCTGATTCTTAGTGTCTTCATTAAAATCCTAGAAATAATCTTCCGCCGCAGAATGCATTTTAAAGATAAATAACAAAATAAACCTCAATTTTAAATTATCGAACCCAAGTTAGATTATTTAACACAGTTAAAATATCTAACCCAAGCTTGGATTCGATGAATATCAGCTTCCCTTAAGGGCCATATGAGGAAGAACATAGATCTAGGAGCCAGAATACTAGATTCATATTTTGTATGAGTCTCAATTTCCTTATCTATAAAATGAAAATAATACCCATCCTTTCTATTCTAGAAACTTTTATTAGGATGACACACCTGTAAAAATACACTGTATAAAAGCAAGATAGCTATCAGTTATTCAGCAGTAGCAGGGAAGGATATCATAGACCAGACACCTGTTTTCTGCCCTTACCATATGACGGGGCAGCTGAATAGTCACTTGGCCTTAGAACCAAAGGATAAAAGAAAGCAGAATCAAACACCACGCAAATAAGAGCTGCACTGCCTTTGGGCCCTACCTACATGTTCAGAGGCCCACACGCTTTTTGTGACACCCCCTATTCTCAAACCAGTCCCTTAGCATGTGGCCTGTTCCCATGAAGGAGGGGGAATTTTCTTTTTCCTGTGCACAGAACTGGTTTTTATTTTTTTATTATTTTTGAACAAATTTTATTTATTTATTTATTTATTTATTTATTTATTTATTTATTTATTGTAATAATAGCCAACTTCTGTCACAGGCTTCTTATTTTCTCTTAAATCCTGCTTCATTGCTTCATCTGCCCAGAAAGGGCACCTTTGTCTTACCTGCACAACACACTAGGTAGGCTAAAAAAAAAGTTCTTTAAAATATTAACTTCTAAATGTCATTCCATAGCACACCAAGTTCCTCAGATACTTACATTAAGAAGAGTTTTAAAAACCTGATTTCAATTCTGCAAAAGAATGTCAAACGAATGAAGAAACAAGTCACAGACTGGGAGAAAATATTTGTAAAATACACATCTGATGGACTACTTTCTAAAAGATACAAAGAACTCTTACTACAGATGAGAAAACAAAACCTGATTAAAAATTGGGCCAAAGATCTTAACAGACACCTCATCAAAGTAGACATACAGACAGCAAATAAATGTATGAAAAGAGAAATGCAAAATAAAGCAACAATGAGATACCACTCTATACCTTGGAGTCACCCAAATCTAACAGCAAATGCTGATGAGTATGTGGAACAACAGGAACTCTCATTCATTGCTGGGGAGAATTCAAAATGGCATAACCACTCTGGAAAAGTTTGTCAGTTTCTTACAAAGCTAAATATACCCTTAGTTTGACCCACTAATTGCACTCCTTGGTATCTACCAGAAGGAATTGAAAACTTCTGTGCATATAAAAACCTACACATGAATGTTTTTATTGTTGTAGTTTATTCATAATTGCCAAAACTTGGAAACAACCAAGATGTCCTTCAGTATGTGAATGGATGCACAAACTGTGGTACATCCAGACATTGGAATGCTATTGAGTATTAAAAAGAAATGAACTATCAAGCCATAAAAAGACATGGAAGATCTTTACTTATTACTTATTACTCTTCCCTTAGTAATAAGGGAAGAAGCCAATCTTAAAGTCTACATATTGTATAATTCAAACTATGTGACATTCTGGAAAAGAAGAAACTATGGAGCCAGTAAAACAAAACAAAACAAAACAAAACGAAATAAAACAAAAAACAGTGGTTACCAGAGATCAGGGTGAGTAGAGATGGGTAGGCAGTACACATGGGGTTTTTAGTGCAAGGAAAACACTATGTATGATACTATAATAATGAATACATACCACCATACATTTATCTAAACCCACAGAATACCAGGAATGAAATTTAAGCTAATATATAGACTTTGGATAATGATGATGAGTCAAAGGTGTGACAAATATATCACTCTGGTGGAGGATGTTGATAATGGAGGGTGTTATGCATGTGTAGGTGTGGAGACTATTTGGAAAATCTCTGTACCTACCTCTTAATTTTGCCGTAGACCTAAAACTGCTCTACAAAAAAATAAAGCCTTAAAAAAATCTATTTTATAAAAAACATCAAGTACATTTCCAAAACAGGATATACTAGTAAATACTTTTCTAATGTGGCTGAATTTGAGGTTAATGTTTACAAGCAACTGTATATAGAAGGGCCCCCAGTGATATTTAATAAGGCACTTATGCCCAGCAATCGGTGTATGAATGTGCCCTTCCTAAAGAAGTCTCCAATATGTCTATAAAACCTTAACTATTTCTCATTCTTTCTACATATCTATTTATAATTAGGATTGAATTATTTTTAGTAATGCTTATTGAGGTGTCCCTAAGGCTTTTTTTTTTAAATTATCATCTATACAATTGAGTATAATGTGATCTACTATACCTCTTTACTTAGTAGGTATGTATTAACTAATTTCCCATATAAAGTACTAACAAATAGTAAAAAAAAAAAAGAAAAGGAAAAGAACTTATTAAGTATATATTTAAGATTAGCATCTTAAGTAAAAATGAGCATTTCCTTTGGTGATCATTGCAAATAATATAATTTTCATGGTATATATGAACTGATGTATATTCACAAATTAGTTTCTACTTGATGCAAATATTATTTGGACTAAGGTGATATTTAGAAGTAATCTAAAGTATGGTTTCTTATTGAAATAGCTCTGGAGTTACATTTGAATTTATTTTAAAGTAAGTTTTTGTTTTTTCTAACAAATATCATTTTCTCCAGGGATTCTTCCCTTCCATCTTCTATATTTGGAGCCTGTTCCCCAAAAGTGCATAATCTTTTCAGAATCTTTTCAATGCCCTTATCATTTCTTGGGTATATTAACCCATTAATTCCTTTATTTTTTCAACTGATATTGAATGAGCTCTTATAATTTGACAGTCATTTAATTGTCATTAGGTGACAAAGAGCATGCAATTCTACTCCTTGTCTGGTTATTTTGAATATGAAAATTAACCAGAATGATCATAAATGAATCCACTCATGTATTCTTTATAACACTCATTTAAAAGTAATTAGTGAATGCTATTTTCAAAGAGAATATTATGTTGAAAAAATTATCTAAATGGAAGCCACTTGAGGTAATTTTGCAGATGTAAAAACATAAAAATTCAGGCAGGATGTAAAAGGCTGGAGTAGTCTAATTATTGATTGGTAACAGAGGACATTATGGAAGTGCATAAACCATAAGGAGCTATCACCCCATACCCACTAGAATGATTATAATCAAAAGATACATAACAATAAATACTGGCAATCATATAGAGAAATTGGAACCCTCACTGCTTTTAGGAATGTAAAATGTAGCTACTTTGGAAAACAGTCTGGCAGTTCATCAAGTAATTAAATATAGAGTTTCTATGTGACTGAGCTATCTCACTTCAGGGTATATACCCAAAAGAAATAAAAACACGTCTATGAAAAGCTTTCATATTAACGCTCGCAGAAATATTTTTCATGGTAGTCAAGCAGTGGAAACCACCCACAGAGCAAGCCTCACAATTAGGAGGCAAACCAGATACTTTGACTCAGGGATGGGGATGAAGTGTTCTGTGATGTCAATTTTCCACCAGTATGCTGAGATTAAAGCCAAAAAAAAAAAAGTATGAGATTTATTCACTGCATTTGACAATGAGTAACTGCATGTAATATGTCCTGTACACTCTGCTAGATGCTGGATGCTGGTGCCACAAATAAAAATGGTAAGAGCCCTGCTCCCGAGAAAATCTCGGTATAAATCTTCATGTAAAAGTGACATCTTTTTTTGTGATACATAAAGTAGTTTACCATTTTCTGAAGCAGCAACGGTGATGTTGTACCATGAAGTTTCTTCTCTATCAAGGACCTTTGTAGTCCTAATGGTTCCTGTATTGACATCAATATTGAAACATCTGTCATCTTCAGCACTGTAGTCAATGAAGTACCTAGAAAAAAACAGATAGCTCTTCTTTTCACTTGATAATATAATGAAGAAAGTAAAACTAAGGAAAGGGCAGTATTAAATCATATATATTCAAATATTTAAATGTATATTTTTAGTTTCTATATTTGCCTCCTAAGATTTGACTGGCAACTTTATATTTGCATAGAACTGACATCAATTATTTTTGTCTGTCAACCCTTAATTAATGTTTACTCTAATTCCTAATTCAAATTAAAAAAAAAAAAACACCTTTCTGAATTCCATTAAAAGAATGGTAGATAGTAGGAACTCTGGGATTAATAAGGGAGAGACCAAAAAAAAAAAATGCCCCTGGGAAGTCTATAGTACTTTGGAAAAAAAACAAACAAAACATTAAACCTTTAATGAAACTTCTCATTGCTACATATCCAGAATTTTTAGGATAGTAGGAGATGTCAGAGAATAGTTTATCCTGGAGTTTAATAATAGTTGACATTTGAAGATAAATATTAAATAAAAATCAAAACGTTTCAATTAATTATCATTGTATCTGCATCACCTAGCCCACTTGTTGAGTGAGAAAATGAGAAAACAACTAAATGAGAGGTAGGTTGCATTATTGGCCACAAATCATCTTCCCTCCCCAATGCATAAGATGTTTCAGTTTTTTCTCACATTAGATTTTGCCTCCAGCCTACTTTAGCAAATAGATGAACACCAGGTGTTTGTAGGTGTCCAATCACTAAATTGTTCACCTGAAGCTAATATTACACTGTATGCTAACTAACTGGAATTTAAATAAAAACTTAAAAAAAAGAATGAGATGAAAAGTGATTGAAAGTGATCATCATCATCATAGAAAGTGATGGCGTCCTCTTCCACATTTGGGCCAAAGTTTCATAAGACTTTGCCTCTTCCTTCTTATGTTCTGCCACTGACACAAAAAGAACATGCTGGGGCTAGTCCACTAGTCCCAGAAGGAAGATGAGAGGCACAAGGACAAAGTTGTTCCAGTTCAGGTACCCCATCCTAGAGGAGAGCTACCTAGTAAATGAGCAGATGCATGATTGAATGCACTGGAGTTAAGTAGAGCTAGCAAATAGAAGCCAGCTTAGTTTAACTGGTCTTCAACTAGTTCAGGCACATACACTATGGTTATAAATTACTCATTTCTTTTCTTTCTTTCTTTTTTTAATTACTTATTTCTCTACCTCTACGTTTTGGAGTTTTACATAATCCAGCAACAGTTTATTAACATAAATATGAATTAAAAATATAGTAAAAAGTCATAATATTCTCTAGAAATGTTCCAAACTATTTCTAGAACTACTGAAGGAAGTGTTTCCTCCTTAAATCTCAAATACTTCTCCCCCTTCCTTAACCTCAGCTTAAGTAATATTTCATCTAGACCTGCGGAACAAAAATGAACTGATTAGGCACAAAGTACTAGGGGTAGAATATTTGAAATCCAGGAAACCAAATGACCCTGAGATCATGACATGAGCCGAAACCAAGAGTTGGACCCTTAACCTACTGGGCTACCCAGGCGCCCCCACCATGGCTACTTTGAGTCTTAGATTGCAGAAAGTTAAAAGCAATTCAGAAAAGAAATGATGTCATCTTGAATAAAGGTGGAAAAAAGTAAGAAAATGGACAGAACCATAAAAAATAATGCTATATATTGAATACAGCCTATAGAACTTTTTATTGGAGTGGCATTAGTAAAGGGGGGGAATTATAAATGATTCAATTTTGGCGTGTTTTCTGTGTTTGTGTGTGTATGTGTGTTTGAGCTGCCATGTAGTTGATAAACCTATTTACTGAGCTGAATAGAGGTAGGAGAAACAAACAAACAAACGAACTCCCTTTGGGAGGAAAAAAAAAAAACAAAACTGGAAAGTAATCAATATTTTGACACATTATGCCTTAGAAGCCAATTAGATAAACGTGTGGAATAAAAACTAGAGAACTGGATATGGGGGCAGAGTTTAAGTGCACTTTCTGAACAGGAAATACCCATTTGAGATATATCAGCCTAAATTTAAGGTTATGGGAAAGGCATGATTTCATCTGGGAGAGAACTGTAGGAGAAAAGTGAAATATTGAGAACTCTAGCACCCAGACTTTTGAGCCTAAAGCAGTCCAGCATATGTACAAGAGCAGGTGCTAGCAAAAGGAGAGGAAGAATCCAGGAAAGGAGGCAAAGTGGGAGTGGGTGGCACAGAAACCAAGAAAGGAGAGTGTTTCAAGTGAACAATTATAGTGAATCCTGCTAAGAGGCTGAGTGAGGTTAGTAAGGGTTGACTGGCTTTGGGAAGATGGACATCATTAGTTAACTTGAAAAGAATAGTTTCAATAAGATATAAACTGTTTTATTGTTTTTGTTTTTAACAGTGAATTCAAGAATATATTGAATGTGAATCTGTCAAGCCAAGAGTCAGGAAATACAATACCATGCCTCTCCTAGGTGTAATGTGTTAGCAGAGTATATAGAACACGGTGCAAAAGTGTGAAACCTTATAACAACCTGTGGATACCCATGCACACACATGACAGAAGATATTAATACATCATGCAGATCGAAACTGTAGGGCATCCTAAGAAATCCCATTCAATGAAAGTAACACCTTACAGAGCTCAAATACAACCCTTGCGACTGTGTGATCAAAAGAAGAAATAGATCTTTTGCATAGATTGTTCTAATAATAACTGTATGTTAATTGAAGAAAGCTGAAACTAAAGAAGGAATTTAAACAGGAAGAGGTACAGGTATAAAGCAAATCTGATTCAGAGAAAAGACAGGCGATCCAGACACTACAGAACAGTGGGAAAGAGCAACGTCATCGGGCTTTCCTGAAGCATTAGGTCCTCGTGCACTGAAACTGATTTTGACTTTGAGTTCATATCACAAAAAGATCCTTCTCATAATGTTCTTTTTCCAGAGACCTTGATGTTGAGAATGAAGGCAGGATTGCCTTAAAAGATGTGAGAAGTTTTGTCACACAAAAAGGATAACTTCCTTTAAAATGTCATCAGTTGGAAAACTGGTTATTACATCATCTAAAGTTAGTTGTCATTAACCTGCCTTCGAGACACTTTCCATTTTTCGGTACCCTAAGAACCATGATTTCTGTATTGGAAAATTAGATCTAAAGTTAAAATATATTAAATTCCAAAGCTTCCTGCATCAACTATCAGCAAAACTCAGATTATATTGTTATCAACACACCCCTATGAAATATGGGATGACATGCCTCATCTTAGAAATCTGCTTGTTTCAGAACTGTCGGTCTGGAAAAAAAAAATTGGGGGGGGGCTCCAGGGTGGCTTAGTTGGTTGAGTGTCCAACTCTTGATTTAGGCTCAGGTTATGATCTCAGGGTTCTAAGATGGAGCACTCAGTGAAGAGTCTGGTTGTCCCTCTCCCTCCACTCTCTCGCTCTCTCCAATAGATAAATAAAATCTTTTTTAAAAATTGGCTTTCTTCTGTTTCTAAGCTAAATTAAGACTAAGACATGGATAGTGTTTGTATCAGGGCAATCTTCTCTCTTTTAGGCACTTTCACACAGATTTTCTAATGTAAATGCTAGCAGCAGTGGTTAAATACTTTCACAATAAAAATGCTTTTATTTGAATTAAAAATTATGTTTAAATATTTTTTAAATGGTAGGTATAATGCTAGGTATGTGTCTTCAGTTTCATGTTATTTACTTCTTAGCTTTCTCTGTGACCTAACTCTCCTGGAAAATCTACAATTTAAGGGCTAGATATTAGGGTATGCTTGGTTGCAGAGTCTTGAACGTGGTGGAGTTGCAATTGAATTTCAACTCAAATAGAACTAAAGAGTTCTGCTTTACTCTAACCTTGGATTTCTGTCTAGCTATACAAATAAAAACTGGAAAAAAAAGAGACAAAAATGAAAATGTAAGGGAAAAGAAACTATTTAAAACTATTTTGGGGTTTTAAATGTAGAATCATTCACTGCTAATAATTTAAAATTAGGAAAAAGCATGGATCCATAAAAATGTTTATCAAACAAATAAAAAGTAGATGAAAATATTCTCAGTAGGTAACTTTTTAAAATACTTTCATAAAAAAATCCATTTGCTTCCTTCCATAAACCTTCAAAAAGGTCAACACAGCATCTTAATACTTTATGAACTCATATATGAATATTTAGATTTTTTTACAATGCTAATGTTAATTTGACATTTTTAGGGATATATAACAAGCATAAAATCAAGTAGCCATTTCTGTAGACGATGTAAATTCTAAATTGGGATTAATGATAAAAACTGAGAAAATAGTTCTGAGTTTTTTTTAAAAATATTATTGTCCATTGCTCGCTTCGGCAGCACATATACTAAAAATATTATTGTCCATTGCTATAAAAAAACGAACTAGCATAAACTGAAGCAAGAGTATATATAACTTGGCAAGATGTTATTCTTCAAATTCTACTACTCTCTTCATATAAGACTATCCAGGGATGATAGATAAGATTGAAGAGAAAGACTCATATGTGAATTATTTACAAAAGCTATCTAATAAGAAGTAAAGAAAGCTCACATTCATGGAGCACTCACAGTGTACCATAACATACTTTAAAGGTTTTTTCTATATTAGTTCATTATAAACTCAAAACAACTACACGAGACAAGTACTATTAATAGCCCCTTTTTACAAAGGAGGAAAGTGAGGTATGGAGCGATGAAGAATTTTACTCAATATCACGAAGCTAGTTAGGGCAAGTGATTAAAATACAATTTAAGTCCATATTTAAGAGCTCCCTTTTTTATTTTATTTTTTTTGGATCCTATCACTGTTATTTTATTTTATTTTTTAATTGTATAATGTTATGTTAGTCACCATACAATACATAATTAGTTTTGATGTAGTGATCCATGATTCATTGTTTTCGTATAACACCCAGTGCTCCATGCAGTACGTGCCTCCTTAATACCCATCACCGGGCTAACCCATCCCCCACCTCCCCAGAACCCTCAGTTTGTTTCTCAGAGTC